AGAGGTTGCAATGAGCTGAGATGGCGTCACTGCACCCCAGCCTGGGCAGCAAGAGCAAAACTAAAAAAAAAAAAAAAAAAAAAAGTGGGCCCTCAACATAGTTAGGCAGTCGCACTATATAACCTCGCCAGTTTATTCTTCCACTTACTACAAACTATTTTAAATGTTTTCTCCCGTTTTGAAATCTGACTCTTTCCTTTCTTGTCTTTTGTTTCATAGAGAAAATAGACTTCATCATGTAAAACCTATAATTTCTTACCACTGCATCTCCAAACCTGCTGGCATCCTTGCTCACTTTATTCTTCTTCCTTTTTATAATGGAAGAGAGATGTTCTTCTTCCTAAAGTCCTAATTCTGGCTCACGTCCTCTACTGCCTTTTCAGAAACCTTATGCTCCTGATACCTTCATACTTCCTGTCCTTACTGAATTTGTGCTTTCAGAATTAAAACATTTCAGATCTCTCTCATACTTGAAAACACTTTCGACCTCGTATACCTATCTAGTAACTAACCTATCTTTCCTTTATGGTTTAACTAGTTTTATTACGCTATTGTCAGCGAGCTGCAGTGGCTCAAGTCTGTAATCCCAGTTACTTGGGAGGCTGAGGCAGGAGGATTGCTTGAGCCCAGGAGTTTGAGACCAGATTGGGTAACAAAGCAAGACCCTGTTTAAAAAAAAAAAATTAACTTAGTCTGTAGTCCCAGCTACTTGGCAGGCTGAGGTGGGAGGATCACTTGAGCCCAGTAGTTTGAGGCTGCAGTGAGCTACGATCGCACCACTGCATTCCAGCCTGGGCAACAGTGAAACCCTGTCTTCTAAAATAAAAACAAAAACCAAGTGTCTTTCTCCAGCCCTCCCTTTGCATTCACTCTTTAACCTGCTCTATTTCCACTGCTCCCTGAATGCTAATAACTTCCATTCTTTCAGGTTTTAGTTCTCATCATGCTTGTTTTCTCTGCATCATTTTGCATAGTTGATATTTCCTACTTTTTTGAGAAGTTAATCCGTTGGCTTCTGTGATACCTTTCTTTCATGTTTTTCCATACTCTCCGGCCCATTATACTCTCTTACTATTAAGTATTAAAGTGGCTTTGTATGGGCTTTCTTCTACATGTCTTACCTCAAGCTGTTTTATTTATTCCCATCTAAATCTCCAGATTAGATCTTTCTTCTGTTGAGGTTTAGATTCATATATCTAATAACCCACTTGACCCCTCTCTTGTTTGAATCACAGGTGCCTCAGACATAAGATATTAGAAACTGAACTCATCACCTTCCCGTAAACCTATTACCACTAACCACTCAACTAAAAACCTGGGCCTCGGCCTCATTTTTTTTTTTTTTTTTTGAGATGGAGTCTCACTTTTGTTGCCCAGGCTGGAGTGCAATGGCACGGTCTTGGCTCACTGCAACCTCCACCTCTCAGATGTAAATAATTCTCCTGCCTGAGCCTCCTGAGTAGCTGGGACTACAGGTGCACACCACTGCATTTGGCTACTTTTGTATTTTTAGTAGAGACGGGGTTTCATCATGCTGGTCAGGCTGGTCTCGAACTCCTGACCTTGTGATCCACCTACACCGGCCTCCCAAAGTGCTGGGATTACAGGAGTGAGCCACCACGCCTGCCCAACTCTTCAGCTTTTCTATCTCCACTTTACCGTCACATTGCAAAGCATTACCTATTGCTTGGACAACTTCTGTAGCTCCCTAACTTGTTCTTTTCTTTTGAATAGAGTCTTGCTCTGTCGCCCACCCTGGAGTGTGGTGGCCCAATCTCTGTTCATTGCAACCTCTGCCTCCTGGGTTTAAGTGATTCTACTGCCTCAGCCTCCCGAGATGGGACCACAGGCATGTGCCACCACATCCAGCTAATTTTCTTTCTTTTTTTTTTAAAGACTCAGTCTCGTTCTTGTCTGCCAGGTTGGAGTGCAATGGCGCAATCTCAGCTCACTGCAACCTCGGCCTCCCAGGTTCAAGTTAATGTCCTGCCTCAGCCTCCCTAGTAGCTGGGATTACAGGTGCCTGCCCGGCTAATGTTTGTATTTTTAGTAGAGACAGGGTTTCACCATGTTGGCCAGGCTGTTGTTGAACTTCTCACCTCAGGTGATCTGCCTGCCTCTGCCTCCCAAAGTGCTGGGATTACAAGTGTTAGCCACTGTGCCCGGTCTAATATTTGTATTTATATAGAGACAGGATTTTGCCATGTTGCCCAGGCTGGTCTCTTTACTCCTGACCTCAGGTGATCTACCTGCCTCAGCCTCCCAAAGTGCTGGGATTACAGGCGTGAGCCACCATGCTTGGCCTCCTAACTGTTCTTTGTATTACCCTGTATCTCCAGCTAGATTTTTGGAAATGGTGTAATGACCATGGGAATTTTTGACTGTGGTGAAGTAAAAATGAAGAAAAAAGAAAAATTGTTGAAGTTAAGGGAGTCAGTTGACTGAGAGGCAAATGTTTTGGGTAGGTTATCTGAGTGAATGTCGACACTGTCAAGAATAATGATAGGAGTAATGGTGAGTTAGTGAGCAAGATGCTGGAGTCCTTAGGAAGGAGTGATACGGCTGTTAGTACCTGGCAGTAAAAGGGAGGTTACTTCCTGAGAGACAGAAGTCTTCCCTGTCCCACCAGGTCAGTTTATATCCTGTTAAATGCCTCCATAGAATCCTATATGTTTTCTTGGCAGCACTTACTTTTTTTGTTTGAGACGGAGTCTCGCTCTGTCTCCCAAGCTGGAGTGCAGTGGCGTGATCTCCGCTCACCGCAACCTCCGCCTCCTGGGTTCAAGCAAGTCTCCTGCCTCAGCCTCCCGAGTAGCTGGGATTACAGGCATGTGTCACCCCACCCAGCTAATTTTTGTAATTTTAGTAGAGAAGGGGGTTTCACCATGTTGGCCAGGATGGTCTTGATCTCTTGACTTCATTATCTGCCCACCTCGGCCTCCCAAAGTGCTGGGATTACCACGCCCAGCCCTCTGCAGCACGTTACGCTTGTTTGACACTTATTTGATGCAGGTCCCCAAGAAAGCAGGACCAGGTTTGTCTTGTTTGTTTCCATATTGCCAGTGCCTGCTCAAAGCCTGGCACATAAGCTCTTAACAATTTACATGATCCGTACAAGGAGCCTGGAGGTTTGGTCCTAGGCTTCATTCTATCATGAATTAGTTTTATCTTAACCAGCCTTTAGCTTTTTTTGTATTCTGTAAAAGGATGAGTTTGAATTAGATTATATCCGAAGTGACAATTCTGATGGTTTTTAGTAGAGTTTGTTTCTGTGACTTCCAGGCTTACAATTCTGATGTTTTTCATTAGAATTTGTTTCATCAGTTTCTTCTAAAAATAATCTCCAATTTAGTTATGCCTGTTCTTTCTATTTTGTTGTTAGCATTATGTTTAAATGTTTACTTAATTGTAATTAAGATACCAAGACACTGAATAATTAAGTTGTTCAGGAAATGATTTAATTCAAATTGTTTAAGTACTAAATCCTTTTAAACATTCTTAAATCTTTTTATTAAAGTCAATTAAAAAAAATCTTACTGAAGACAGCCAAAGCCTAAAGGCTAGAGCCAGAGCTGCCCCACCAGTCGCCTAGCAGGTCCTCTACCGGCTAATTCCTGTCCTGGAGCTTCATTGGCACAGCGGCCAGCGAGACGTTCCAGCCTCCCTGTTTCTTCCTCCGCTTTCTCTTCCCTCTGGTTTAGTTTGCTGGGAGCGCAAAAGGAGAAAGCACAGAGCCGCCCCAAACCCGTTTTGCTTCTGCCCATCACAAGTGCCACTACCACCATGGGCTTCCCTGTCTCCTCCCATTTCTCCCGCCTCTTTGGCAAGAAGCAGATGTGCATTTTGATGGTTGGATTGGATGCTGCTGGCAAGACAACCATTTTGTATAAACTGAAGTTAGGGGAGATAGTCACCACCATTCCTACCATTGGTTTTAACATGGAAACAGTAGAATATAAGAACATTTGTTTCACAGTATGGGATGTTGGTGGTCAAGATAGAATTAGGCCTCCTCTGGAAGCATTACTTCCGGAATACCCAGAGTCTTATTTTTGTGGTAGATAGCAATGATCGTGAAAGAATTCAGGAAGTAGCAGATGAGCTGCAGAAAATGCCTCTGGTAGATGAGCTGATAGATGCAGTGCTGCTGCTTTTTGCAAACAAAGAGGATTTGCCAAATGCTATGGCCATCAGTGAAATGACAGATAAACTAGATCTTCAGTCTCTTCGTAACAGAACATGGTATGTTCAAGCCACTTGTGCAACACAAGGAGCTGGCCTGTATGAAGGACTTGACTGGCTGTCAAATGAGTTTTCAAAACGTTAAATGAAACTGGATAACTAACCAAGGACATGTTCGATAAAATTGGTCTAGGCTTGTTACAACAAAATTAGTTTGTATCTTGGGTTATTAAACAGTATCTGGGAAAAAAAATCTTACTGAAGAAAGGAAATATAGGCAAGGATGTGTTAAATTAGAATACCTTTGTCTTTATCCCTTGAGCAATTTTCTTTTTTGATAAATTCAATATTTATTACTCTTAAAAATTCTTACAACCTAGCAACAGAAAAGAATTTTATTATTTTATTTTATTTTATTTATTTTTTTCCCATTTATTTTATTGCATTTTAGGTTTTGGGGTACATGTGAAGAACATGCAAGATTGTTGCATAGGTACACACGTGGCAGTGTGATTTGCTGCCTCCTTGAGCAATTTTCTACAATATTATATAGATCATCTTTACCCAAACTTATGGTCTCAGTACCTCTTTATACTCTTAACAAATTATTGAAGACCCCAGATAACATTTTTGTTTGTTTTTTTGAGAGGGAGTCTCGCTCTGTTGCCCAGGCTGGAGTGCAGTGGTGAGATCTTGGCTCACTGGAACCTCCACTTCCTGGGCTGCAGTGATTTTTCTGCCTCAGCCTTCCAAGTAGTTGAGATTATAGGCAAACACCACCACGCCCGGCTAGTTTTTGTATTTTTAGTAGAGATGGGGTTTCACCATATTGGCCAGGCTGGTCTCCCACTCTTAACTTCAAGTGTTCCACCTGCTTTGGAGTCCCCACGTGCTGGGATTACAGGTGTGAGCCACTGTGCCTGAGAACTTTTTTTAAGGCAGGTTCTGTCTATCAGCATTTACTGTACTAAAACTAAAACTGAGAAGTTTAAAACATTTATTAATTCATTTAAAGTGACATCTGGTGGGTTTGTTATTGAATAATATATTTTATGAAAAACGTAACCATAGTTTTCCAAACAAAAATGTTTAGGGCAAGAATAACATTATTTTACATTATTCCACATCTCAGTGAAAAATAGATGACAGCAAAATTCATATATCTGCTTCTGCAGTTAATCTGTTCATTTTGTTTTGGTTAAAGTATGTGAAGGAAATCTGTCCTCACTCGGTTATGTAGTTGGAAAAAGGGGGACTATTACAATAGGCTTTGCACATAATTGTGGATAATTTTCTTTGATACTACTACAACACTTGGCAGATGGTAGTTTCTTAAAGGTTACAGTGTGGACTCTGAAACCATATCAGTAAACATTTTATACTTCATTACATTAAAATACATTGCATAGGCCATTTGGAAAATATTTTTCACTGAGTTATGCAGACCTTCTGAATGCTGACACATTTCATTATATAATGTGAAAAAAATCGCAATCACTAATTTTAACACAGATCCCACTAAAAGGATTTTCAAATATTGAAAAGCTTTCAAGTTCACATTGATGGATTCAAGTTTTCCAAATTCCACTGTTTGCTTGAAAGCTGGAATTTTATTATTGGCAACAAATATTGCCAGTTATTTTCCTTGAAGTGTTAGGCTCACTTTATTCACTTTCAGGAAAATGTCTGCCAAACGCTCGAGTCTAAATAATCTTAGTTTGTCTATCAGTTGTTTTTGAAGTGATAATGGTGTTCCATGAACAATTGGCTTATTCAGCTTGCAAATAAACTGCACAAGTACTTTTTCCTAACAGTAGCCATCATACTTAATATGTAGCAGAAGTACTGTATGTATACTTCCATTTTGTCACACACAATATTAAAAAACATTTTCTGAAAGCTCAATATTTAATATAATTAATTAATTTTCCCGCTTTGTCAAGAACATTTATTTTAAAGTGAAACTGGTCTTTTTTTTGGAGACATAGTCTCGCTCTGTTGCCCATACTGGAGTGCAATGGTGTGATCTCGGCTCACTGTAACCTCCACCTCCTGGGTTCAAGCAGTTCTCTTGCCTCAGCTTCCTGAGTAGCTGGCATTGCAGGTGCCTGCCACCTTGCTTCTGATTTTTGTGTTTTTTAGTGGAGACAGGGTTTCACCATGCTGGCCAGGCTGGTCTTGAACTCCTGACTTCAGGCGATCGATTAGGCGATCCACCCGCCTTGGCCTCCCAGAGTGTTGGGATTACAGGCATGAGCCACCGTGCCCAGCCTGAAACTGGCCTTTTTAAACCTCTTTTTCTTTTTTTTCCTGTGGGTAGTTGGCAGTAAAGAACACAGTGACTACTAGTATAGTCGGTGACATTGTCTTGATTGCCTAAGACGCTGTTGTAATTTTACTCACCTTTGTTTTTGTACCATCAATTCAAATGTTAACTCAGGAAAGAAGGAAAATAACAGTAGCATTAAAAAAATAATTTTGACCTTGTGGACCCCCTTAAAAGGTCTTAGGAATCCCCAGGGATCTGCCAAGCACACTAGAAAACATTTGGGATAGATGATTAGTTCAGTAGACTTAATACCTTCCTTTTGTGGCAATGAGAGTCTCAATTTTAAATATCTTTGTATGCTGCTATGTATAACGAATGCCCCTGACTAATATAGTTACCATTACAATAAAAATGTAAAGTTTCTTATGTAGAAAGTGTTAACAGGGTGCAGTGGCTTATGTGTGTAATCCTGGTACTTTGGGAAGCTAAGGTGGGTGGATCACCTGAGGTCAGGAGTTTGAGACCAGCCTGGCCAACATGGTGAAACCCAACTCTAATAAAAATACAAAAATTAGCTGGTTGTGGTGGTGGGTGTCTGTAGTCCCAGCTACTCAGGTGGCTGAGACAGGAGAATCATTAGAACCTGGGACATGGTGGTTGCAGTGAGCTGAGATTGTGCCATTGCTCTCCAGTCTGAGTGACAGAGCGAGACTCTGTCTCAAAAAAAAAAAATAAAGTCTCTTATTATATTGTATACTATGCTAACTATTTTGGTTAGTTTTTAATATTTTGGTCTTATTGCTCTGTACAATTTGCTTCTCACTAGCACAGATTTTGAAACTGATTTGCTGTTAAAAGTTTCATCTGTTATCTCCAAATTTCACCCATACCAAAAATTTAGTAATTTGTTTATACGAATTTATTTGATTCATAAGCAGTTGTTAAAATTAAATGATTTTTAGGAAGGAGTGAGAAATAACTCATTTTGATTTTAAAATGATATAGTAATCATTCATTTCTAATTTAAGTATGTTTGAAATAAGATGTGAAGAAATCTCTTGTTATTATCCATGGCACATATCTTTTTGGTACTAATATATTTACATCATCATCATCTTTTTTTTTTTTTTTTTTTTTTTTTTTTGTTTTTTTTTTTTTTTTTTTTTTTTTTTTTTGAGACTGGGTCTCATTGTCACCCAGCTTCTGGAGTGCAGTGGCACAATCACTGTTCACTGCAGCCTTGAAATCCTGGGCTCAGGTCATCCTCCCATTTCAGCCTCTTGAGTAGCTGGAATTACAGGTGGGCCACCCAAGCTAATTTTTTGGATTTTTTTTGTAGAGACAGAGTTTTGCCATATTGCACAGTCTGGTCTCAAACTCCTGAGCTTAAGTGATCCTCCTGCGTCAGCCTCCTGAAGTGTTGAGATTACAAGTGTGAGCCATGGGGCCTAGCCCAACATCTTAAAAAGTAAGAATAACCCAACTGAAGTGGGAGAAAAGGTTAAAAATTGGAGGGTACACTTTTTGTTTTAGTTGTTTCTCTGGCATTTTCCCCTCTTTATTACATATATTTATTGTTTTTCATGAACAAAAGGCTTTAGCCGGGCACGGTGGCTCAAGCCTGTAATCCCAGCACTTTGGGAGGCCGAGGCGGGTGGATCATGAGGTCAAGAGATCGAGACCATCCTGGTCAACACGGTGAAACCCCG